AGATAAACTTTCTGACTGGGCAATCAGCCCCAGTTACTGACCGACTGTTGGGTCTGGGGCCCGCACTGCGCTGGTGGCGTATGGGGGAGGGTGGTGGTGACCGAGATGCCGCTGGTCTGGGGTGAAGCTGATTTAACACAAGCAATGTCCTATTCATAACACAGACTTAGTGAAAAGCTCTTCTCCGGAAACAAAGGACAGAGAAGGCAGGTTTCTTAGCGATGTACCGTTAAACCTCTCTCATTCGCCGGCGGCGGTCCGGGCGCGGAAGTTCCCGCGGAGCTGGGCATTCTCACCCGCCTCGCCGCCTCGGCGCCTTTCCTTTGCGCTCCGTTGCTCATCGGGTTCTTCTGCTTGGAAAACTACCTGCCTAGCTCTGTCTATGCCAATCTAACTCACCCTTAATGCCAGGTGTGTTCCACTTCCCCAAAGATGCAGGAACGCTCACCTCTCATGATTATGAGCACTTCCAACATGAAATCATCCCACGTGGTCCCAGCCACTGGTCTCAAAGTGCACAGTTCAAATAAGACCACGTCTCCCGGAGCGTATACACCAATCTCGTTTTCTGCGGGCCCAGATACACGCACAGGCTTATTTATCCAAGTGCAGATTGTGCACCCAACATACTTATTAGGGTTACTCACGATTATTCCGGTTTGTTCGTTTCAAGTCTCCTAAAGTTAGATGTGACCTGCTCTGGCCAATGAAACCATGCAAGTACAGGAACAGTAAAGCAAGTTCCCCTAAGACCCTAGGATGTGAATGAGACAGGCATGTTCTGGGGAGTGTGGCTGAAGCAAAGCAAGCCAGGTGGGTCTGAGAGGTCTCAGGGACCACCCCATACAGAGGGCTTCGCAGGCCGCTGTGAAGGGCTTCGGCTTCTACTGAGTGAAACAGCAGCTATCTCAGGAACTTGAACAAAGGGTCTGAGGGGCGAGGGAGAGTGCAGGTACCCCCTGGGGCTGGTGGTGGAGTAACCTTGCAACTGAACCTTCACTGATGGAAGAAGGTCATTCTATCTTGTGGACAACTTGAGAACCACTGCTTCAGAGAAGCCAGGGGACCAATTAATAGAAGGGAAACCTGTGATCCTTATTTTAAACTTCATTTTTATTGCTTTCCTAATCGAACCTCCAAGTGACAGTTGACAGCTGAATGTTGGGCCATCCCCAGCTTCCCTTATACAGGGCCTTTGGAGGGACCTAGTGCAGGGAGAGCAGGGACGCCTAATCTGCCAACCAGGGGTGCCTATTGACGGCTATAAAAACATAAGGATTTATGGAGGCTAAATTGATTAATTCTGTTTTTAATTTCAGAAAAGTAGAATTATCTTAACTTAAAAAAAAAACAAACTTATACCTTGTTTTTCACTTTAGAACCTCTTCTTTCTTGCCCTTAGTATTTATCGCCTTTCCCTCCCCTCCTCCACATTCCCTTTTCCTCTTCCTCTCTTGCCAAAAAGAATACTGCCAATTTCGTTAAATCACTTCAAGTTAAAGTCTAAGAAAATCATAGATTCTAAGATTAAAAAGTACAATGATTTTCACATAAAGCATTCAAATTTTTATACCTGAACAAATGATTTTTGAACAAAAGTGTTTGACTTCAGCCCAAGAAACTAAAATACCCAAACAGTTCCAACAGCTTTAGAGAACCAACTACATGATCTTCAAAAACTACTACAGCCTTCTTATTTCAAATCATGGAGACTCACCTCCAGCAAGTATCCTTCTTGGAGTCCTGCTCCTCCTGAGATGAAGCTTTTACTGACACTGTAGTTCTGTCAGATGCCAAATCCATCTGGTCGTGAAGCAGCAAACCTCTCTGAAGGTCAAGTTGAACCAGGAACACTTGTGCCAGGCACTTGAACTTGAACAAGGATATTTATATATGCATATGTAACACCCTTATAACCATATTGTCATTAAACAGTCCAACCTAGAAATATTGAGGAAATCGGGACAAAGCAAAATGCAAGCCCTTAGGATATATGAGAGGCAGAATTCAACACCCTCAAATTTTTCTAAAAATGTATTTACATAAGTCCTAAAGCAAATGTAGTCTAGCAGCTTACATATTTAAAACAAAACCAAAGGAAAAAAACAAGGCAAGCATTCTGATTTCAGACATTAAAGTAAATACTAAGGAAGAAGGACACCAAGCAAGCTTCCTTTCTGGGATCTAGGCACATTAGCCGTTTCGTTGCCCTTATTAAATGCTAAGACCTCTGTCTTTTTATTTTATTAAGGATCATTGCAGCAAAATCTGTCAAAATACATTGGAACAGTTATAAAAGTTGAATTTACATCAGCTACATGAAGACTTTTGCTTAATGCCAGGTTAAAAAGTCACTTCCCATGTGCTTCTACTACATCAAATCACTAGAACATTATAGTTGTTTTGTTAGGAATGTTCTGGAGAATTTTAGCTAAAAAAACCTTTGTTTTGTTAGTAAGGAGTTAAAAGATGGAATGGCTAAAATAATTGAAAAAAGCTCTGCTCTTATAATGATATATAGTGAATCTTTGTTTTCTTCATTAAATAGAATCAAATATACATTGGAGATTGTTATACTGAAAATTTAAGACAATCCTTAGAATGATTTCAGTATCCTAATGTGAGGTACACATATAACCCATTTGAACTAGAACAGTCACGAACTCTTCTAGCAAACCCTTTGATTTTTAAATACTAAACAATTTTAGTCAGTTGATAGCAGAACAAACACAAATAGCAAAATACAATACAAAAAGGATCTTTAAGGACACAGCATGGTTATAATCCAAGTCAGAGTTTGACTGTCACCTAGTTAGAGCCCTCATCCACCTCTAACAGAGACTACACTTAAAAGAATTATTTTCGGAGACTTCAGTGATGTCTCAGTCAGACTGAGTTGGATCCATAAATCTCAACACCCTTAGAGTTTGAAAGGAACTCTCCACTCAACTCACTTTTGTGTCATTCAAAAGAAAACCTTAAAATCACTTTCCCATCTTATCTTTATGCTTATATTATAACCTGGCATTAACATTTAAGCTCAATATTATTTCTTTCTGGGTCAACTGCTGGAATAACATTTCCCATACCAATGTCCAAGCAAGTTGATCTAATACTAGAGCACCTAGAGGGGGCTTTATGAAAAAGCTGAAATGACAAAGAATAAGTAATTTAAAATAAAAACATATCTTTAGATTTAATTTCAAAGTAGGAATTATAAAGTTGGTATTGTCTATATTTATCAAACTTCATAAATGCAAATTTTATTTATGTATGTTTTTTCTTTAAACCTGTCATCCAGTTCTAAGGGTCAATTCTAAGGAGACATGATTAAATTGAAATAAGTACTGACTTGCAATCTGATCATTCAAGAACTAACTTCAGAAACTATGAAATTGAACCAAATAAAACTGCCATTTTTGTAGATTAAAAATGGTCAAATTAGAAATTAGAAATTTCAATTAAAGGGGCGCATGGGTGGCTCAGTCGGTTAATCGTCCGGCTCTTGATTTCGGTTCAGGTCATGATCTCAGGGTTGTGGGATCGAGCCCCATGTTGGGTCGGGCTCTGTGCTCAGCATGGAGTCTGCTTGTCCCTCTCCCTCTGCTCCCCCCGCTCCCCACTCACTCTCACTCACTCTCTAAAAAATAAAATCTTTAAAAAATAAAAAAGAAATTTCAATTAGAAATTTCACTGGTTCAAATTAACATCTGGAAAAACTCTTTGTACCTATCGGGAAAGCCATAGAGAAAGTGCTTTGGTCTGGGAGACCCAAGCCCGTACCTAAACTATAAACAGAAGAGGACACTTACGCAGTATGTTTAGCTAATCTACTATCTAGGTAATGGTACAACTATTAACATGAAACACAATCTTATAAAAAGCTTCTTAGATACTCTGTATCACCTTATATGAGGTATCAGGGAAATTACTATAATTCTCTTTTAGACAACAGGCAGCAACAGAGCACAAATCCTTTCCCTGTCTCTGGTAAGTGGGTGGTTTTGTGGCAAGTAAACAAAATCCTATGGACAGCATGCAAATTAAATTTTTCTGGGGTAGTTCATTTAAGAATAGATTTTTCAACTAGAATCAAAATTTCTGTGATTTGATGGGAATTTCAGTCTAAGCAATTAAGTGATAACAAGGAAAGAGTACCCCAATATTAGTTTCTTCATAAGCAATCACTTAAAGGGAAAAAGTAACTGAAATAAACAATTTTTACTTAAAAAAAAAAAAAAAAACCTACCTTCAATGTTTAAAAGAATGATTACAGAAAACAAAACTCCAGGATACAAAACTACACTTTGACAGGTGAACAGGCACTAGTTACATGTAAGCCAAATAAATCTTATTTGCCTCAACCTTACTTATTTCTAAGACTTGCTACCTTTAATTAATGTGTTTTCATTACACATTTTATGACAATTAGCTTTTGCAGTTCATAGAACTTAACTTACATCACCAATTCAATGTATGTTAAAATCCCTCTAATTCAATTCTGCAAGCCTCTAAGTCACACTTCCAGACATGAACACAGGTAATACAACAAAATATCAGAATTAGCAGAAGCACCAACATACACACACACACGCACAATGAAGTGAGCACTACACCAGGGACACTAAATGGGTAAGTTTCAGACCACTCCCAATTCCCAATTCTCCAAGGGAGTAAGAAATCTTTATTGTAAGAAGACAAATGGAAAAGTTCTTGCCCAAGAGGAACAACTTCTGGCTTCTTCGTTTCTGGAATGTTTTTATGAAAATAACCATCAATTCAAACTTACTTGCTTTCAGTAATCTTCCTAAAGTCAAGAAGGGACAAGTCCAGTTCAAATTATGGCTATCAGTTCTATCTTCCTTAGCCAATGAACCAAATTGAGTTGAACAACAATTCTCTTAAGGTATCCTAATAACTAACTTCAAAACTCCCATGTTTCTAGGCAGAACAAAAATGCTGCCTGCAGTATCGAACAATCATAAACACACACACACACATTATGCAATTGCCTGTTTATTTAGTGGCACCAATTTTGCAAACTAGAAATTATTTCTACTTTTCATCTCACATACAATCTGCAATCATTCACAGGCCGAATGCAATTTCTTCAACAGACTTAAAAACAAAAGTACATTCTTAAAGTTAGAACTGAATCCACATGTTTTCTTTGGACCAGGAAAATGGTACATAATACAAAATATACATTTATGGAATTTCTTTAAAGTTTGGATCACATAAACGGCAAACAGTGGGTGAGTTAACTGTGGAGAATTTTGTTATACACTGTTTAGGAAAAATATTTCTGCAGTTGTATTAGTTTTACATTTATAGATTTAAAAAATGAATGTATTTATATAATGCAACATGCTTTAACATGTACATGGTCTCTCCACTCATAACATTTATACAAATTAAGTGAAAAAAAATCATTTCAAGAGTGAAACCAACTACTATTTGGGCGTATTACTACAAACAAGGTATTTTCCTGCACATACGCTGTTGTCTTAATCAATGGCTAACCAAGTAAGACAATGGTTTCTGTGTTTCAAAATTCCCACAAATGGGAATTAAATAAGCTGTAACTTATTTTGGCAACAAATGCAACAAGCTAATAAATTTTTTCATGGTGGTTATATTTTAGTAGATATCCCATTAATTCTATACATTAATGGCTGTATGTTACATCCTATTTTAACATTCTGTATCAGTAAGTAAATACCCAATTCCTTAGAATCTGAAGTGAATTACACGTTTGATGAACTCTAAGACTAGGGAGCTCAAAACCTGAGTGAGATCTGACAGTTAAACGTGTTGTGAATATACTGTATTTGCACTATGCAGGTCAGAAACATTTCAAACTTTCAATTTCCATTTTTTACCTCTTTTCTGTTGTTTCAAGTGGCAAACTTAGAGTGATGTTATCCTCCAAAACTAGTCCAAATACTCTATTCACCTTTAATTACTTGCTTCCCCCCAAAATACCATCTTTAAAAAGGATATTTTCGTATCAGGTTCTAGCCTAGGGTCCCATCCACCTCTTTTATCTTTTAAAAAAGTTAAACACTTCCTTAAAATATAGACTCAAATTATTTTGATGCCCTTGAAATTTTTATGGGCTTTGCAGGAAAAAGGCTGACGAACCAATGCAATATTGTAAACTTTGGGGAGTTATGTACATTATATGAATTTTCCTGTGTAAGGAAGTTCCTAGGATTCATCAATTTCAAAGGGCCTGGGAACCTAAAAAATTAAGAACCACTGCTAAAATGAATTTGTACCACTCACTGTACCTAATTTTTACTAATTTTGTTCTGCAGCTACCCAATCTCCTATACAAATCTTCAGATAGTACCATACAAACACAAATGTTACTAAATGTCCTTTACTGGATCAGGAGGACTATATAAAAGAAAGGAAAAACATTAAATCTTTCTAAACATTTAATTCAATAAGAAAGCTAACAGAAAACTGAGCTTTGGAGCAATTAAAAGAACAGAAGGATTGGGTTTTGTGGTGAATAAACATTGCATTTATTTTTCTCAGTTAAGTTTAAGCAGCAGTAATTTTTACCATTATCTCCCTTGCTGGAAAAAATCAAATGATCTGAAGAAGCAAAGGTTGGTTCTTGCTGGTTTATGTGATGCAACAGTTAATAATATACAGCTAGGCTCAAGGAAGACCTTCCACTGGCATTTAAAATAATTAAGAGCAATCCTCTCTGTCTTCCTCACTGGCATCTACCCACCCTTCCGTCTCCCAAGTTTTCTTATTTTTGGCCCACTTTTATATAGTGTTAATTGGCCTTGGTGAGGTAATGCACCCAAGAAAACAGAACTGGCCTGCTGAAAGAGAGACAGAGAGAACCATCACCAAGAGGACAGTAGAGGAAATCAAGCAACATTTCGTGCTGCATGAAGGGGGGGAAAAAAAGTCACTTCTTTGTTATATCAATTCAAACAACATTTTCCCCCATCTAATATGTTGTCAACTACAATATAAATATATCTGAGTTTTTCTAGTTGGTGCACTTCTACCTGCTGGTAATATAATCAGGAAAACACGAGAGTAGAGGCCCCTAGGTTAATATATAAAGCAGGCAAAAGGGAAAGAATCTGCGTGAAGGTGAACAGAAGTAGAAATGTTCATTTGACAACAAAGTGGAACCAAATACCTCTCATCAATTCTGTATGGCATCTTGATTTCAGTAATAACTAACACTTGAGACTTATTATTCTGACCAACAAAACAATACAGTATTTTACTCCCAACATTTAGAAAATGTATTCTTAAATATTTCAAGCATATTCTAAAGTAATGTATAATTTAAAAATACAATCCAAACTCATGGCACATTATTGAAGGAAATAAAGTGAAATTAGGCTTCTAAAGTTTTAAACTACAGAGAAGTCATCCTCATGACTAAAAGAAAAACTAATTAGAAGACTCAATTACAAAATGGTCATCTCACTAGCAATACCTGCAAGCAAAGGTATGAAACTCTTTAAGATTCCTTCAAAGAAAAACCTCAAAAGAGAAACATCTATGTACTGAAATATTTACATATTTTCTACTACCAAATCCTAACATAATACTGTACAAATAACAAAACATAGGCTTACACCTCTAATTCAAACTTTATGAATTAAAACTATACACCATGAAATTCAAAATGAAAACAGAAAACCTGTAACCAATTTTGTCAGTTCTTTCAGAAATCACAAATTGAATTCCCATATGAATTTGTCCAATAAAGATGGGCAGTGAAATTATTTTTAAAAATTAAAACACATAGTAATCATTTGGATAAAATTATTAACACTGGCAGTGTGTTTTCAAAAAACAGATTTTTCTCTTAAATAAGATAAATTTAGCTATATATATATATATATATATATATATATATATATTTTTTTTTTTTTTTTTAAATGCCTTAAGCTCAAACTCAACCAGTATTTCCAAGGTTGGAGAATCTAAGAAATCCATGACCTATTTCTCTGACTGGCTGCTGTCGGCAGGAAGAGTAAATAAAGGCCATTTGTTAAAGGTAGTCAACCATACTGAATAGAGTTGAGCCTCCTCAGTCCAATTTTATTACTATGCTGAGCAAAATTTTCTTCTGAATGAGATTTTTAACTTTGGGGAGAAGAAAGTAAACAGGAGCATTTTCAAATGAATAATGGTAGTACAAAGGAGCTCTTTAGGGCAGAGACCTGCCTTGTTCGGGACAATTATCTGGCAGACAGTAGGGGGACTGTAACTATTTTTCTGGATGAGTGATTCAGTTACAATATTAACATACATTAGATTATAAATTGTACTCAAATGTAAACTCCTTGAGGGCAAGGACCTATTCATGTCTTTATAGTTCCAAGGTACTTGGGCCTAGAACAGTGTTTTGCAGGTAACACTCAATCCATTTTGTGGGAAACCTGGATTATTAGCAGAATTGACATGTGGTCAAATGGATGGTCACTAAAAGTGCTAGTATAATTCAGATTATTTGAATTACATACTTGATTTAGTCTTTAATCCAAATTTCTTGACGTGGTGAACAAATGCGTGGGCAGAGCAGCATGCTAATTGCATAGTACTCTAGGAGCAAGCATTACAATTACAAATGTTTGAAATAGTTCTAAAGCTAAATAAGAAAAATACCACTTGGATTTTTCAAAGTTAATTCTAATATTGAGCACTGTTTCTGTTATCTGTAAAAGTATATTCCTTAAGAAAGTGGAAATTAAGAGAGCTTACCTTGCTAAAACAATAAGAGATCGGTGAAATTTTTAATGTTAGGGTAACAAGAGTCTGCTACACAAAATGAATTTCCTATTAAAAGCAGCAAATTGAGTTCATCCTATTAAAACACTTAAATGAAAGTACATTTTGAATGGTATATTACCATCATACAAGAACTTCCACCCTCCAAAGAAAGTAACATACAACACATCAAAAAATTTTGAGGCATTGCCCTGAGATGCTATAATTAGCACACAAAAGGGGGTTGGGAGGGTAAGAACTTAAGTGGTACAAAAATGATGTGCACAACAGAGGTGCAAAAGTGCCTTTTAAAAGTGTGGTTGGTTCCCACCCCCACCCTTACCCCCAGGAATCAAGAACACACACAGTCTGCTATTATAATGTATACTTCCTTTTTTACAATGAAAAATTATATATAGTATGGCAATGCTGACTCATGCGGAAAAGATTTAGTCTTCTCAGAGAGTACTTAGTAGTTTTCTCTCACTTCCAAGCTTCATTTCAGTACTAATTTTAACAAGGAATATCTTAACCTCTTCTTTTCTATTTAAAAAGTCTCAAATAAAAAACAACCCTAAATATGCTGTTATGGTTTGAAATATAGCGTTCCATCACATATTTTTACTCATGACTTACAATTTTGCATCTCAAAGTCTAATTCAAGGTTTTGAAATTTCTAGAACTAAAAGATTCAGTCTACTTTAAATATTAAGGAGCTGGCTTCTTACACTAGGAATTTCGTTTTCAGCGCTAGTAGGTCTAGGACTCACTCTACACGAGAAGCGCCGCCATCCGCGGACTGCACGTGGAGCTGCCCGCAAAGCCAGAATTGAACATCGTCATACTTCGCACTCTACCACAGATTTAGACACCGAGCATTTATTTGTAAGTTTGGAATTGGTTCTGTAATTCCAACTGTTACGAATTTCTAAATATAAATAGTACTTGTTTTTCTTCATTCATGCTGGATTGAGTTATAAATTAAATACAATTAAATTACATTGAATCGCCTCACAAATAAGAGGGATAATGGAAAGGTTTTGCTGGTATGTAACTACTTAAATCTGAGACATTTCACATTACTTTGCCCACTACTCCCCTAACTTTACATTAGTTTTAAGGCTATATATACAAATATGTATATTTCCAAGTTAGGGAAAAAAACAAATATAACAAAACTGATTATACTACCTTTTATACACAGAGTTTCGATTTTGTATTCAATGTTGTATTGTAATCTTATACGTTCATAGTTTTCTAGTGGGGAATCTGCCTACTGAATGATTAAATTACACGGCAATAAATACAATATCCAACCTAGACAGACAAAAATACAGAAGGGCACAAAACAGTAGTCTTTTCTGCGTGACAGATTTAAAAACTTACTTTCACATGCTTAATCAGAAGAATTTAAGCCTAAATTAAATTAGGTATTTTTATATCTACAATTCTTTAAGCTTTGAAAGTTATTTTTAAAGGCCAACAGCTAAATATTAGCAACATGCTATATTTCAAATCACAAATACATCTGAACTACTTGGATTCTAAAGACATGGGCCAATTAAGAACCACAGGCAAACACACGCTCACACACACACACATGCACACACACACCCCTACTATAGAGTGTTAGATTGTCAAGCTCTGACAATTATTTTAATTAAACAGTAGGCAAATTCAAGCTGATCCACATCTTAATGAAAAATAAGCAGCCAGAAAGAACTCCATTAAAAAACACATTAAGAAACAACACAGACTTAAATCTTGTAGTCTTTCTAATGGAAGGGAAACAGTTCCATCTGTGCCTTAAGTAACAGTATTTCCCAATTAAAAGAGACTAGCATCTTTCCCCATGAGAAACTTCTCATTTACAATGGCATGGTGTTTTATAAGGGTGGGGTAAAGGAGGAATTACACATACATGATTAAATTTCTTGTTTGTTAAATCAAGCTTTATTGATAAAATGGAATCAGAATACCTTACTAGGAATGGCAGCAGGCCCAGCCAATCATGATAGCAAAAACGTGGCAGTCTCCTATCTGCAGGAAGCTGCTGCTTATCAATTAGTAATTCAACGTAAGGACTTGTAAAAGAGGTGCAAAGAATCAAGGCATTTTAGCCCCAAGATTGATATTCTTATGAATATACTGTATTACCTGCAATACTCCTGGCAACAAGGCGAGAACAACCTAAAAGACAGTTAAATGAAGGGACCAGCTTTATCAACAGTGCCAACCCCACTGCCAAGATAGTTTTCGGTTAACTCCCTGGATGTTCAGCTTTGTAAGATTTTGGAATTATTCTCCATAATTGTGAGCACATTTGAGCGTCTAGCTGGCATGGCTGCTACTCTCCCTGTCCCGACCCCAAGTCCAAGCACAACATGACTTCAAAGGACTATATATCTGTTGCATCACACAACAAGCCAAACATTTTTTGTAACTTTGATAGTGATTTAAAGCAGTTCATAATTAAATATGAGCATTTTGTACAAGGACAATTACACTTTACAAAAAACAAAATCATACAACAAAAATTGCTGGAGTCTGATTTACAACATGAATTATGGTTTGAAATCATGTTTACATTAAGTCTCAAATTTACAAAAAAAAAAAAAAAATTCAGTCCTGGGCTAGCTGTTGTACTGCTGAGTTCTCCGGTGTGGCCCACTCTCACCCACGTCAGATGGCCTTCTTTAAAGTTGAGGATGGATGTTTAAAAGGTTCAAGGAAGTTGAGCTGTACTCTCCTTTGGAGGTGAAGGTAAACTCCATGGCTAGATGAGCAGTTTTACCACATGTCATCAGTTGATGTAGAGTCCTTTATAAAAGGAAACAGAACAGAACAAGGAACTACATTAAAGCTGAGGTGCCAACAAACATTACTTTCTGGATAATGCGGAAAGGTAAGGTTTTATAAAGTTGACATTTGGACTACAAGTGCTTTTTAAAGTGTATGTGTTTGTGTGTATATGTAATATCAGTATTCTATCTGCTCAAAAAATTGTTAACCCTTTGTTTTGTTTTGGAATAAAATATTTGAAATACAATTTTACCATGAGGTTGACCAAATGTATTTCTAAATCAGTATAATTACTAAAAAATTTTTATTTTCTTCAATTAAAACCCAATTTATCTTCAGAACACTACTTTTATTACATAAGAAGATATTAAGGCTTCAGGTAATATGAGATTTGAGGAGGCTTCATAATGCAATATATATCTCAGAGCTGTGCCCAAATGATTTTAAGTCACCACTTTTCTGTAAACACCATACTACAACAGAATTGTAACAAGAAATTTAAGTGGTGAATAGGACATTCTAATGTCTTTTTATATAAGTAGAATTCTCTACTTTAGTATTTAAATGAAGTATATATTTCAGGGTTCTCAGCAAAGGTATTTCCAAACAAAAACTACTTAGTGGAGCTGAGCATTCTGAAGTTCTGTTGCAGCTGCTTATAAAACTCAGAATTTAGAATTCTGAGCAGAGGTATTATTTCCAACTTCAAAAAATCATTTAGTGGAGGCAAACCTTCTGAAGCTGATTGCTTGCAGAGACTTAAAAAACCAAGAATAATTCAAAGGGACTTTCTTCTTTTTCAAGAGGTGGCCACTCACCATGATTATGTCCTCAATCACTAGAACTGTGGTGCAGCCAGAGTTCAGAGCAATCAATCAGGGGTGTGTGTAAGAGAATGCGTGCAGTGAACAGCTCTGCAAAAACAGGTAGGAAGGATATGCATTTAGAATGAAGTGGAAGGGAAAGCAGATGGAGCCAAAATGTTACTTACAGTGTCATCATTTTTGTAAGGATTCAGTCTATTGTAAACGGCTTCAATTACATTCCGCCTAAATTTAAAAAAATGCAGAAAGTTAATTCTTTAGAGCACAAAACTTTAACAATTCATAGTTAGGTGCTCATTAAAATGTCAAAGATAACCTTATACTTAGAAATTATTTTAATTCTATTTCTTACTGTCAATAAGTGATCCTCACTTTAAGGTATTTGAGCCCCTATGTTAAACTAGAGGGGAATTTACTCTAAAATGTTAACATTCCACCAACCCAATTAATAGAAGACTAAAAGACATGGTACAAAAAAAAAAAAAATCAGTCTATATATGGTCTACTTCATTTGAACTGGCTTATGTGGTTATGAGTCAGCAATGACAATGCAGTTTTAAGATAAAAATACTAATATATATCCTGCTTAAGAGTTGAATGTTAGTTTTGAAGTAGAAGTAACTTCAGCATCTGTTGCGGTAAAATAATTTAGATAAATTTTACATTTAAATTTCTGCTTTTTGTAATGCCCCTTTAAAAAACTCTATTAAAGCTAAAATGTCGAATATGACATTTCCTTGCCAAGTCTAGGACTTTCTGAATAACATTTTGTTAAACAATCTGTAGTGGTATTTATAAGTTATAGCCTTCCCTACTTCCAAAATTGATTTGAAGCAATTTCACAGTCATTTCACAGAAAGTCATATTGGAAGAAAAGGTTTCCAAGCTTCAAATAGGAATTTTAACAATTACTATTTAGAGAAATGATTATAAAGAACATGGTTACATTTACACAACACAGTAGAGAATCAAGGAAATTATCAATATATCTTTGTAGGTCCATTATACAGATATCGGAGGTAAAAATGTTTGAATTATAAAATTTCTTAAAGTCTCCACTTTAGTTTATAAAGATGTAAGCTTAATATCTGACACAAATTAGTCCAGTTCTATGAACTGAAATGCACACAGAAAAAGGCAAGAAATGCATCCTCCTATATTCCCTCGTTACAAAATCCAACCAACCAGGTATCAAAAATCAAAGACACTGGGAAAATCAAGAGATAGAAAAAAATGGCCTAGATGGAGGAAGGGAAAGATGCTCATCCCTGGGGTGCTAAATTATCCAGGGATTGACAAAATCAAATTAAAATAGTAGCAATAAAAATGACAATTAGAATTCTGTAGTGCTACATAATTTAGCTTAAAAAATTATTTCACACAAAAAAATTTCACTATATACTTATCCTATAACCCAAGCCTTCACTAAAGACAGCCTTCAGTATAATTAGTTACACATAATGACATTCTGACACCTATTCTAAAACATGCATCATGTATCATTAATAATGAAAAATACTGAATCACAGGCTAAACATTTTGAACATACAGATAACTGCATCACTTTAGAAATTAGGTAAATACACATCTGATCAATGAACACCTAACATTTTTATGTGCGGAGATAAATTTTAAGAGTATGCAGAATGTAACTTACTTGCTTGCCAATTCACCCCCTGGTGGGAGGCTGGGGATGTTCTCACTTGCTAATGTGCGCATCACATGGACTAAGTCAGGGACGCCTTCCCCCTGCTTCTTTATGATTTCTGGGAATCAGAAGTACTTTTTTTGTAAGTGTTGTCCAAATTTAATTAAAAAAAAAAAACTGAAACAAAGATAACTTAGGTTTTTAAAGATGGCATTTACCACATCTGAGATTTTCTAAGCTGGTATTAGAAAAAAAAATCAAGTTGACTTTTGAAAATTTATGACAAAGGGATGCACAAAATGACACACAAAAATGAGATACTTTCCAGATTAACTTCGAAGAATGAAAATAAACAAGACAAAAATGTGAAAAAAATTTCATGTTAAAATCAATGTACTATATGATCAAGGATATGGGTATACAAATGAGAATATTCTTAAGATGCCAACTAGTTACTTCTGAGGAGGTCAACTCCTCTCTTTAGACTAGAAACATGTTTCCTGAATTTTGCACAGGTTTTTTTAAAAAAAAATAACCAATCTCAAAATTTGAAAGGAAAAAAACTCTTTAAACATAAGGGAATTTTTTGATTATATATGAACCCAAATCATTTTTACATATGTTTATACTTGCAAAGTGAGATTAAGTAGCATGTGCAGATTACCACTCACAGCCTAATTTTTGTCTGAAGTATCTTTAAGCAGTAAATAGATATATAATACCATTTCCTCAGTTGGTCATTTGAACAGGGCATATGGAGTGGAAAAAAAATCTAAATTTCATGATAAATTTTTACAAAGAAAAAATTTGATAAACCATACAACTGCACTTAAAATTGTTAATTTCAAAACATCCAGTTACTAAATGGGTATAGTGATATGAGCTGCAGTGTTGCCATGTAGACGCATACTGTTATTCATACCACAGAATAGCAACAATTATATACAACCAACTTAAAGAATTCTCAAACTATCAAGTACAAGAAGTCTTCACTTGGAGTTTTAGCATATTTATTCTAAATGCAAGATCATACCAAAGGTATTTGTAATTTAAAAGTTCAAGTTTTGCTCAATTTTCTGTTTTTAAATGTTTTTAAATGTAAGAAATTCTCTTTGTCATCATTAGGGCAAGAAAACTGTCATTCTAGTTCTCAATTTATAAATACCTTTGAAAATTACAATGCATATAAAGATCTTCCATCCTTCGATCAAGTCTCAAAATATCAATTCCTCATTAAAGCCATATATTAAAAGACAGACAGTGCTACCCATATTTCTTTAAATGGCTCAAATTGTCCTTTTGGAATTAAGGCCAAATTTTACCATGTATTCTTTTTTTGCTTTTTTTTTTTTTTAACCAGTCTTAAATCTGAACAAAAAGCAAGGATCTCAGATTTGGTTTGCCAAGTTCCTTTATTGTATAATCTTTAACATCTAGTATTCTACATGGTTCTAATGCTGGAAATCTGCTGTACAAAAATAAAGGGTTTTGATGTTTACCTAAGCTGCACAATTTCACAATCTAAAGCTGTAAAACACTTAACATACAGTCTCTGCTAAGCCAATACAATTATTGGATAGATGACTAAATACAATAGAAATGAACACTGATGATAAATTCAATCAATGATAGTTTCAGGTCTAAAAAACATTACCTTGATTCATCTATATTTGATGTATCTTACATCTCCTTTATTAAAATATATATTAGGGTATTTTAATTGTGAAGAAAATTACAGGAAGACAAATTCTTTTAAAAAATTAATGTAAGGCTTTAAAAACAGTTAATATCTCTTATTCCACACGGGACAACACATTTAAACTGTCTTACCATTAATACTACACTAGCATTGCTTCTTCTGCTTTTAAAAAGGAAAACAAGATGAATTTTATGAAATATTCCTTTAATTGCTCTTGAACTATACATTAATTAGAATTGTAAAAAGGCTGAATGCTTTTACTAAAGAATATATGTATAGAAGATCTGTTTCCCATACTCATATATAAACACATTCTGCTCTTCCCTACTCCCCTCCACACCAAGTCTGAGGCATCCTATCAGTTATCTTCAAATTAGCAACTTTAAAGCTTGGGCAGTCAACAGAAAAGATTTAAAAAGTATATATGTACAAGTACAATCTTAAATTGGCTTAGAAGGACCACAACCTTAAGTGATGAAGTTTAAATTATGAGCTGAGTCTTTTTATCACAACCCTAGACAGTCAAGTATTTAGAAGGGCACAGGTAATGGGAGAGCTGAAAAGCCTTTCCTCTTTTGTATGGTGTGGACAGAGAAGCCAAAAGTATTCAAAGCAAATAAAATGAGGTTTAGTAGATCACAGCAATTTTGAAGACATGCATTTAAACAAAGAAAGAAAGAAAAGAAAGAAAAAATATTCAGTGCCTGTTTTGGAAGCTGAATGCAGTATTTTTTACTTAGAACAACTTTTGCAATGTAAATAGTTACATTCTATGTTTTAAAATATAGTAGCAATTTTAATTAATGTAATTATTTATTTTCTAGTTGCAGTCTTATCAAACCTACCTCAGTAAAGAATATGAAATTTGATTTGTGACATAATAATCTCAAATTGAATGATACAAGTATATTTCAACATATCAAAAATATTGAGTATTGATGTAAACTCTATTCAGGTAGCAATTCTTCCTTGATAAAAAGCAATATAAAACTTAATATTGTAACATAAAATTATGTATCTAAAGCAATTATTTAGAATTGCACCAAAAACTTAAAGAGTGTACACTAAAGACAAAGTTGTAATTCATTTCTAAAATATGATCCTGTTTCACAGTAAATAAAACTAAAGTACTTATTCTTTAAATCAGTAAGAAAACATGTACACCCAAATTACTTTAAAGTGCCAATAAATCACATACCAAATTATCCCAATACATATTCTTACTGTTTCATTTTTCCACTAAGCCAGCAGTTTGAACCAATGTGGCATGACTTGGTAGCATTCTAAATATTTTATTTTACTGTATTATATATAAATAACATATCAAAATGATTCATTTAAAATATAAAAATTCCAAGAGCCTTAGGTAATAGTAAGAAAACAAACTCAGTGAATAGTATGTCCAATGAATGAAATACTAAATAGTACATACACATACTAGATATAGCACTATCAAGTGGGGGAGAGCAATAAAAACAAAATAGCAGCTCTAGATAGTACTGAAAATCAAAACCAATCATGATTCTAATAGCAGACTGATCATAATTGATATCAAACAGTAAAAACGGAGAAAACAAAATTAAAGTGCATATTAATTTTAATAATGCAGGGCATAGCAGGATATAATAGTGTGTAGGTCAATGCTTACACACTATTAGATCTTTAATGTGCAAATTCATGACATTAGGAGCCCAAAATGCATTTTAACGCTATCATAGGCATGTCAAGTTTTTCTGCTTAAAAGAAACTGCATAATCTACATGCTTATTGCATATATGCAACCAAATGGAATTCTCTGGGGAGACTTAGCATTTAAAGCAGCAGCTTCATAAAAGGTCGCTTGTATTTTTCCAGATATTTAAAGGCATTACACTTGAGAGTTACAAACATCTTTCTAATTGTCTCCAAGTAATTTGCAGAATTATGACAAATATATTCCTGAAATTCCCAACTCATTTCTTCCTTTTATTCAGCATTTATATTTCTACCAAGTAGAAACTTGGTATATCTTCTATTCAGGTCTATGTTGTCTCAGTGAGGAAGTTTATGGCTTAGGCAAGAAGCCTTGAAACAGTTTAAAATAAATTTTTTAAAAAGCTGTGGCACATGAAAGTTGCTAATAACCAGGCTGTGATCTTCAAGTTATTAAAAAAAAAATCCTAAAGACCTTAAATTCATATACATAGCTTTACACAGAAAGATGGTATTCAAATTATCACCATCATAAATAATCTGTTTATAATTAAATAAACCACAAATCAGACTTTCCTGGCATAAAACTACTCATGCCAGTGAATTCATCAAGAATTTTAAAGCATACAAACACTTTTTAGCCTTTTTAAACAAAGTATCCTGAACAGAATGTACAGGGTCACACTAGTTATTTCTAATATAACTGTAATAGGACAATCAAAAACATCTGAACAGTTACTACAGAAATGCCCTTTCCCACTTTTGTACACTAAACACTAGATGTCAAAGGCATGTAAAGATCTAAAAGCTAAAATATTTTGATTGTGTTGAGGTTTTTCTTTAATAAAGCTACTTATTTTTTGTTAAATGATCCACCTTCTACTCTGCTTTCCAGGTACTTGTCCAATTCTGCCTCCTTCTTCACTGCTTCTGGTGATACTTTGGGTGCATTTGGAAAACAGATCAATATCACACTCATGTTGTCTCGACTTCCCTGAGAAGAAAAAAGTTTGAGAAATATTATGCTTTCTTCTTGCTCTTTAAAGCCTTGAAAACTTTTACAGCCATGACAATCTTAAATATACTTGTTCCAGTAAAAAATATATAAATTGTTTTAAAGGAGAAAAAATATGCATATGTGGAGAGGCACCCCCCTCCCCATGCACATACAGTGTATATGGCATCCAGTATAACCAACACTCCAAAAGACGGGAGAAGCACTACAGGCTAACCTCCACTGCAAACGATCATTTTTTTAAAATGCTATAAAACAAAAATATTTCTGAACATTTACTGGCAGCCTACTTAATTTGAAGATACCGAACACAAATATACATACATACATGCATGCACACACACACACACACACATAATCAACAAAACAGAAAATTCTAGGGGACTTGACCTATAGTTACATGTATACTCGACAAATTTATATTTAAAATAAATTATAATAAATTTGGGGGCTAACTACTTTGCTTCATAATAAACAGAAACATGGAATTAGTAGTAAAACACTAAATATATATAATTTATAAACCAGTTTTTTAACTTTCATAATTTAAAAAAATGGCTTAACTTTTAGGAAGTACATTCATTTTTAAAAAGACACCTAGGTATTCAAAATGCTATAATTAAAATACTTGAATCAATGTTAGCCTCCTCATATTCCCCTCCCTATTAGGAACTGGAGTTAACTTTTACATTTTAAATATTTGATTCCTCAATATGGGAAAACTGACCTTATACCATTAGTTTAAGCAAACCATACAAAGTTTAATATTAAAAAGAATCTTGGAGAAAAACAGTATAAAATGTGGCAAACGATAGGGTACGGAATAATTTTTTAAATGGAGAATGCAGACAAGATAAAGTATTAGCTGAGTCATAATTTACTAGTGTCTGAATGTGACAATTCTCTCCAAGAAAACAGCTTTTAATCTAGCCAACAACTATTTAATTCTCAAGAGCTACAGAATAAGACCAACAAATAGATACTACTTTTATGCATACTAAAAGGGACAAAGAGCACATGCGTCACTGTTCACAGCTCTACTCAAATTCAGAAATCAATAGTGTGAACTATTAAGTTATTGCTCTATTGTTTTTTTTTTAAAACCTATGTGCTGGATGTTACATAAACTTGATTTGTGTTGGATGTTACATAAACCTGATTTCTAAGTATGATCAGATTTTAATTAAGATTTTAAGTAGAGCTGGCAGTATGCTTATAAAACTACAAAGAACATTAAGATGACTTTCTATTTCTGCACGTTAAAAGAAAATCAAATATGTAGTCTCAGAAGAGTTTTATAAAATCAACATTTGTTAGAGAAGAAGAAAAAACCCAAAGAATTAATGAACATTACAGACAAAAAATTTAATTCCTCATCAGTCCTATGAGTTAGCTACTATCTCCACTCAATAGCTGAGAGAGGTCAAACAATTTGTCCGAGACTGTAAAAGTAACCCAGGTAAGCCTGACTCAAGGCCTGCCTCTTCAGTCGGCTTACTCTTGCTTCAGCTTCCTCATCTGTAAAATAAAGGGGCTGAGCTGGCTCATCTACATATATGAACACCTTTGATCATCCCAACAACCCCATGAGATAGGGTGATAATATCTCTTACCTTTTTCACAGTTAAAGAAACTGATTTTCCAGACAGCTTAAATAGCTTACCTGAAGTCATACTCAGTCTCATACCACGTTCTTCTGACTCCATGTTCAAGGCTATTTTTATTACATCATACCAAGTGATCACTAAATTCTCCTTGTTGGTGCTACATATTCATTAGACTATAGTCTCACAGTACTTCCATGATTGTATGGAGATATCACATGATAAAAATAAAATATTAAAATTCTAAAATGCTTTTCATTTATTAGACACAAAGGCCTAACCCTCCCCCATGCCTTTCCTTTTAAGACATGCACTCTTTTTGCCTTTGATAATCTTCCACAATATTAAAAAGCTGAGGTAGTCATGGTTACTAAAAGACCATTTAGATTATAATTCTTGCATATTTGGTAATTGGGTAATTTATTTCTAAAAAATGTTCCTAAATTTTCCTAATTGGTAAAGAGTATCCTGCAGTTTTGTGCCAAGAACTTATTTCTGAGAACTAGTTTCTAAAATGATTAAATACTAGAGTAATAGTTAAGATGACATACAACCATTTTTATCTTTTAAAAGAAAATCTAACTACCTTATACAAACAGGTGTCGACTACTTCATTGCAAACTTTCTCAAGGTCATCAGTGACTTCAAGTCTGGATCTTACAAAATCACAGAGCTCTTCATTTCCCATAACATCCCAAATACCATCACATGCAAGGATAATGAACTGATCATCTTCTTCAGATCTTTCAATATCATGGACTTCAGGCTCTGGTGAGACAAGCTGCTCTGTAGGACCTTTTCCATGGACACATTTGTAATCAAAGTCCCCAAGGGCCCTCGATACAGCCAGAGAGCCATTCACACGCTGAATCATTACAGAACCACCTGCATTCTGAATTCGTTCTTTTTCCAGCGGATTACTTGGTTTGTGATCTTGTGTGAAGAAGTGAACTTTCCTGTTTCTACAAAGTAAACCTCTCGAGTCTCCACAGTTAATGAAATAAGTATGTTGAGGAGAAATTAAGACACCCACAGCTGTTGACCCACTTCTATCTGCACCATGTTTCTTCTCTGACATAACTCTCATGTGTTCATCAATCTCCAGAAAACCTGTTCTGATTCCATTCTTTACATTTTCCACAGAAGGTGCTCCTGCAGACCCTTTAAAATCCTGGTTATTGGTGATGTGATCTAACAAATGCTCACAGCAGTATTTGGCAACCTGAGAACCAGCATGCCCGTCATACACAGCAAAGAATGACCATGTTTCAAGTCCACTTGGCAAACCGATCACAGCCGTATGTGCATCCTCCATTTCAACTCGCCAACCTTGCATGCTGCTTAGCCCATATCGCAACCCATTACCCTGCCCCTGGGCATTATGTTTTTCCATCTTTGGCTTGTCTAAAAATGCTCCCATTATGTCTTGATATTCTAGGTCTGCAAAGGAAGAGAAACAGGGAAGTTAATAACTATCTTATATACAAAATACATATCCAACAACCTTTTTAAGAGTGAAGAAAATATAAAGAAAGCTTTAAATAAGAAATCACAACTTTATAAGCAGACACTCATTGTGTTGCGGACCAGGAACCTAGAGATTAACAAGAAAGAATTGGGGACAACAGGCAGAGAGAACTAAAGCATCAGGATAAAAGTAGCTGACCTGACACTGCCCCGCCAGGCACAACCACTTGAGGTAGAAAGGAGACTGGCAGTGGTCATCAGCTTACATGAACCAGGCCAAGTGTTTAAGGATGCAGTGAATATGTGAATCTCTTAGGGAATCTCAGACCTAAATTGTATGTGTATGTTAATCAAGAAAAAGCCAAATGAATTCACAACATACCAAAAGCCTACTAATTCAAACATCTTGGTTGAACTTTTAGGATTTTCCATTTTTATTCTGAACTACCTATAGTTTTATTCCTACTACATGAACACTCTGAAAAAGTAAAAAAAATTATCTACTCACAAAGATCCGAATTTGTATACTCATTCCTTTAAGCCTTTGCTCATGTCAGTCTCCTTAACTGGAATCCCTTGCCCCTCCTCCCTACTTATAGAAAAATGTATATCCATCTTTTAAAGTCTAGTTCAAATTCTACTTTTTCCATAGCTTTTTCAGTCTCTGACAAAGCTATTAAGTTATTAAATTATCATAAGGAGTACAACCTCAATGGTCAAGTTGCAAAGCAATTATACATACATACAACAAAGCTTGTTATATACAACAAAATCAACCTACTGTGATCTACTGATGTTCTATTAATTTAGCAGTAATAACATATATCATTAGTAGTATACTTTATGACCATTAGATATAAACAGTAAAGGAGATTGGAGGGTCTAGGAAAAGCCATGTGGACAAGGCATGTGGACAAGGATTAGCTAATCTAATCCTTTCCCAATAATCAAAAGCTAAAAACTCTAGTCTGAAATGGGCCCACAAGGGGCAAAGTCGGTTAGAATTTAGGTTGACCTTTACTTGAGTAATAGCCTAGGAATGTAGAGAAGTAGGGTCCAAGTCATCAAATTAAGTCACAACTGAACTCAAACCAATTCAAAAGAAGGCTAGAATTAAATTTAATGGAGGTAAAATGGGGAAGCAAAATAGGGGGTAGGTAAAAGTACCTAGGTAAATCAGGATGCAGTTATGAGACTAAGGGATTGATGATGCTAGTGATTCTAAGCTTTGAGAAGTTGGGAGAGAAAGGTTTAAGAAAAACTCCTTAGGAAGGTCCCAGTGTCCCAGTAACCTTTTCCCCCTTATTTTCCTACCAGGACCAAACTAATACACAAGAGAGAAGTCTGGCTGATGGGTGTGATAAAACAATCTCTTGCTTACTCCTCTGTCCCTTATGACAATTCCACTAATGAAGGTAAATAATGAAAACTAGCCATCATTATTCCTTATGGTAGTATTCATCAGATTACCAGATACCAAGTTGATATACATTATTATGACAAGAGTGTTTTGATTAGACAAAGGAGTAACATAATGATGATACCTTAATAGCAGACCATGTTTAAGAATAATTCTAAATCATTCGTTCTCAATAACCCTCTAAAGTCAGTAATAATATCTTCAATTTATAGATGAATCTCAGTGAGACTAAAGAACTTGGCCAAGGTTACTCAACTGTTAAGTTTAGAGGAATCAGGACTCTAATTCAAGCCTGTCTGAATCTAAAACACCATTTACTACTATGGCAATGGTCTTGATCATGGATATACAAAAGAATTATTTGTGGACTTTTTGAAAAATTACAATTAACAAATCAGAATTTCCAGGGTAGGGTTGGAACCTAGACATTTGTGTATCTGTAAAAAGACTAGATGAGATGCCTAGATAGGTACATCTAGATGGCTAGATGATGACTGAGCCATCGTGAAGTTAAGTCATCTGCTGAAGGTCAACAGCAATTTGCTTCATCTCTGTACCTCAATTCCTTTAGCTAGACTAAACGGGAGGAGAGAGATATAGTTAAGATGCTTGATAATCTAGCATTCCTCGTCTGTACAATGAACATATTTATACTTACCTCTGAATGTTGCTTCAAGGTTTAAATGAGGTAGGCAAAAATAAGGCACTCAGTAAACTATTTAATTATTATTACATTCCTACATATACAGTCACACTAGATTCAGATAGTACCTAACAGGGAACTTTCTTTTGCAGAAAAGTCCAGTAGCTATTTTCCAGATATACATATAAAACTACCAAATAAATAATTCTTTGAAGACAAACAGGATAAAATTTCTAAAAACAAAACCCAAACTTTTGAAAAATATATATTAGAAATGTAAAAATGTAACAAACCAAGTCAACCATCTGATAAAAATTTAGGTCCAGCCCATAGCAAGTAGAAAAATATACATCAAAGACAAATTAGTAATTTTGTGATTGGACTTTCACATAGTGAAAATAGACAATTCAGAAATCTTACCTCCTGGGATTCTGAGTAATTTGTAGAATCCTAGTGAAGCAGCCAACAATAGCTACATAAATACAGCAGATGGTTATGTAAATATAATACTTACCAGAAATTACTTACTTATAAATACTATGTTTACATAGTCATCTTCCAGAAGTGGACTACTAATTATGTAGTCAAATTATTAAATTGGCATCTATCTATAAATAGTAAATCCCAAGGGGTTCAATTTGCCCTTGAAAGCTTAAGCTAGTTTCTGAAAGAAATTCTAGTTCTCGCCTTGTCTTAGATCTACTCTGAGCACATGCCGGATGGATCTCACCACAACACTAGCCTATCGGTTGATCTGAACTTTTCAAAACAAAGTACTATGACAATCACAAGACTGAACTCATCTTTGATATAATCAGAAATTTTGATGAACACTTTTTGTCTTTGAAAACCAAACTAACTCCTAAATTGAAAAATTCTAAGGCTGAGCCAGGAAGTCATTCATTAAAGTTCAGCCATTGGCTTTTATTAAGCAAAACTGATCTCATAGTCATAGCAGAAAAGTCTTAAACCTTGGTATTTGGTTTAATCTGCTTATAAATCACCCCCCCCCAATAAAAGCTCTATATATTCAACTGGTAAGATCCTTAAGCAACATATTAGCCCAGAAACAAGAGTTAGTCAAAAAATTGAGGAGTAAAAAGATATAAGGTCTTTTTTTCTGTTTACCTATGGGGACACAGGCTAATACAGAACCCCTCCAGGCTCCATAAACAGAGGACAAAATACACATGTAAACAATATGGAGAGGGGCGCCTTGGTGGCTCAATTGTTAAGCGTCTGCCTTCGGCTCAGGTCATGATCCCAGGGTCCTGGGATCAAGCCCCGCATCGGGCTCCCTGCTCCGTGGGAGGCCTGCTCCTCCCTCTCCCACTCCCCCTGCTTGTGTTCCTTCTCTCACTATCTCTGTCAAATAAATAAATAAAATCTTTAAAAAAAAAAAAAAAACGTGAGAAAATATATTTTAAAGATTGGGGGGAATCCAGAGGGGGAAAAAACTATATACAAGAGCGCTAGGAGCTCCTTGGGGAAGAGGGAAAAAATGGAACACTAACTAGCAGCATAGGAAGCAGTGTAAACAACATGGCAAAATTCAAGTCATTTGCAGTGGGATGTGGGATGTAAACTCTTTACTGCTACCAAATGTTTAGCATATTCTACATTGCCCACTAATGCTTATACGTGAATAGACTTTGTCAAACACGAAGACAAATGCTCAGCTGACCCCTGAAATGCACATTTATTGAACGATAGGATTTAAGCAATATATTGCAGAGTGGGGGTTCAGTGAAAAAACAGACTCCTTGTGGCTGTATCTCTGCAAAGGATAATTTAGGGTACACAATCTACTTTTAACTTCCCAAGCTATGAGACATGGTAATTCATAAATTGTATTTTATAATCCAAGGCAGCCACATCAAAGTTATCTATGGTAATGACAAATAAATGCATGAACAAAACTTTATACCAATTTGAGAAAAGAAAAAGGCTAAATTTTTCTCTCATTGGAGTCTGAAATTTCTCATCGACCCTTACTTTAAAAAATGATTACACAGGGGTGCCGGGGGGGCGCAGCTAGTTAAGCATCCGACTCTTGATTTCAGCTCAGGTCATGATCTCAGGGTCGTGATATCAAGCCCTGCTTTGTGCTCCATGCTGGGCATGGAGCCTGCTTAAGATGCTCTCTCTCCCTCTCCCCCTGCCCTCCTCTCTCTCTTAAAAAAAGGATTACACAAATTTATATTTACAAATTTGATTTTGATTAACTTGTGTAACTCATCAGAGCCAAAATGTAGAAATGATCTGTCTAAATCTATTTTACAAACGAGAAGGCACAAGAAATAGAATGATTTGCTGAAGGTCACAAAGCTAGTTCCAACAGTAAAAGCTGAGAATAGGTAGTACGTTTCTGGAATTTTACTGCAATTCTACACATCCTGTCCTGTGTACTTGCAAATGAAGTTAATGGAAGTCTAAAAACAGGCTTTTTAAAGACAACACACAAGGCAGATAAGTAGGGAAGATTGTCACAGAACAAAGCTGAAAATTCCTTAAGTGCCATTTCTTCCTCTGCCTACTCTAACTTTTCTAAACTTCTATACTGCCAAGATAAAGGACAAAAAAGAAGGAAAGGTAAAGAGAAAAGGAAAAAAAGCAAGAAATCTAACTCTGTTTTTTTGTCTGGGACTGAGAGAAAACCAGAGTGAACAATTTCTGGCAAAGCTAATCTTAAATACTCAGGCTAAATAAAATGTAATAATGAGCAAAGAAAAATAAGAGGATATATTTTTAAAGGTTCAGAAGTTATGCGGGGATGGGGGAGGGAGAGGGGGAGGGGAGCACAAGCCTCAATATTCATTATCTCCAAACTAGAAATGACCCATCAAGATAGGAGATATGAGATTATGAGTTGGAACTACAGGCTGTCAATTAAAGAAAAAAGGTGGGGGG